TCAATTAATTTTTTCCTAAATTACCTCTATTTATTGTGTAATTTTTTTAAGTTTCATATTCAAATCTCAATCATTAAAAGTTAAAATCAGGAGGGCCATTTTTGAAAATGTATCACAAATTGTTAACAAACTAAATACATATAATTAACTAGCTTATCCCTTTTTCTTAATATGTATGAAATAGGAAATAAGCTCTTACAATCAAAATGGAAGGCAGTGTCACTAGGACCTATCTAATACATAAAATTTAAATACTCTATATTACATACATTACTTCAAAATATCTTATGTTTAACCTGGGACTTCTGAGTTTGATAAAACATCCTCAAATTCATACCCCACACAGACGGTGCGGCAAAAATGGGTCAATATTTTTTTTCTAATCATTATAATTTTTTAATACGGTCAAAGACGCCAGCTGTAGGCCTTTCGTGTTGGAAGGTACAACTAGTGGTCCCACGCAGCTTTAGGCTTAAAAGCCATTCCATGATATTACCAATCCAAACAAGGCCTTGAACCTTTAAGGTGCTTTTTGACTGTTGGGTGCGGCTTACTCTGCAAATGCTGTGCCGAACACACCCTTGAGCGAGATATACCTCTTGTTTGATATCCAAGACTAGTAATTTGATATTATCACGCATAAAACTTCAAGAGTTTGGATTAGTTTTTTAAAAGTGATTTATAAAGTTTAAAGTAAGTATCTCGGAGAAGTTTTATTTTAGCTTACGTAAAAAAAAACTTTTTGTAAGTGTTTATATGGGAGATGTTAAACATCTTCTTAAGTCGCGAATTTCACCTCAATCTTTACGTTCGCCTGAAGTTCTATTTTTTATTTGGAAAAAAAAATTTTTAGGACTAATGATAGGGGTTAAGTACTAACATGAAAAAACATATGGCTAAAAAGGATATACTTATGAATTTTAAAAACTCAATTGTCTCATAGAATGAGAGCACTATGATGCCAGTAGTTGGTAGTTTGTCCTGTAGTCTATTTCATGTGGAATGACCTGTCCAACCAAACCCTCCTCCCAGACTTCTAGTAAGACCACCTCACTTCCCTTCATCTGATATAAACAACCGACTCTGGATCAGGGTCATCCTGGTTAGGATCCTGGGATTCTCCTGCAAGGAATAGGAGTTATGGCTGGAAACTTGGCTGAGGGAGATAGAGTCCTTCAGGCTGAGTGAGTTGAATTAGTGAGTCTCCGTCATAAGGGTCTTCAGAGGGTTAGACAATGTCAAATAATATATTGTATATTGATGTCAAAGTATGACTTTATGAATATTAAATGGACAGTAATATATTTAATTTTGAGAAATAGATTATTATCAATTTATGTCACATTCACATTCACGATCATATATTTCTTAAATCTTACTATCTCTGTCCTAAGTATAAGAGCTAATAATTGGATATTTAATTTGGTCTTAAATATAAGACCTTATCCACTTTATGCCCCACACGTATTCGTTTTTTTAAAAGTACTTTTCATGGTGATTCCACATGTCAAAATGTTTTTTGTACTAAGCACATGACTAATAAGGTTATTTTATAAAAGATAACACTTACTACCTCTGGTCCTTAATACTCCTCCAATTTTAAATATAAGACCCTTATACACACTAGTATAAGGATTTTATATTTAGGATAGGACGAGTATAAGACCTCGTTTGACTTTTATTTTAATCCTAAATATAAGACTCCAATCCACTTTGTCTCTCATATTTATCCCTTTTTCTCTAAGATAATCCTTCTAATAATGGTAGGTCTAGATAACAAACTTGATTAATAAGGATATTTTGGGAAAAACAACACTTATTCATTACAAATAACTAATTTAACTAAGTTCCTTAATTTCCTATAATCAGAACCGGAGGTAGTATTTATTGTAAACAACTAATTTAACTAACTTTTTTAATATCCATAAATTATTTATCTAACTCTTATATTAACAGTCGAAGGTAGTATGCCATCATAAAATATGTACATTTGACTCTTTCAAGTTCAGCAATGCATTGCCGTTGTTACAATTTTGCCGGTTGAGAAGGTTGATTCTGACAGAAATTATTTTAATAATTCCAGAATTGCCCCACTTTCTTATATATTAAAGTATGATGTAAGTCCTGACTGATTCCACATCCCATCCCAAATAGCACCAAAGCTAAGGGAGTACATATATGAATAGTTACACACACTCATTCAAGTTCTTAGTGATTAAATTGTACATTGGTAGGGAAAAAAAAATTGTAAATTAGAATACCTCCCAACCACTAATAAAAAACAAAAAAAGAGTCCCAAAATATGACTGTTAGACGCGGTTTACTCTGCAAATGCTGTGCCAAACGCACCCTTCAGTCAGATGTACCTCTTGTTTGATATCCAAGACTAGTAATTTGATATCATCACGCACAAAACTTAAAAAGTGTTTAGATTAGTTTTTCAGAAGTGATTTATAAAGTTTAGAGGAAGTACGTGGGAGAAGTTTTATTTTAGTTTATGTAAAAAAAAACTTTTTGTAAGTGTTCATATGGGAGATGTTAAACACCTTAAAAAAACACGTAGGAATTTCATCTCAATCTTTACATTCACCTGAAGTTCTATTTTTTATTTGGAAAAAAAAATTTTCCAGACTAACGATAGGGGTTAAGTACTAACATAAAAAAACATATAGCTAAAAAGGATATACTTATGAATTTTAAAAACTCAATTAGTCAATTGATAAGAAATAGATAATGTCAAATAATATATTTTATATTGACGTCACATTATGACTTTATGAATATTAAATGGACAGTAATATATTTAATTTTGAGAAATAGATTATGATAATTTTATGTCACATTCACGATTATATATTTCATAAATCTTATTATTTCTATCCTAAGTGTAAGAACTAGTTGGATATTTAATTTGGATCTAAATATAAGACCTTATCCACTTTGTGTCCCATATGTATTCTTTTTTTAAAATGTAATTTTCATGGTGATTGCACATGTCAAAATGTTTTTTGTACTAAGCACATGACTAATAAGTATATTTTAAAAAAGATAACATTTATTTATTATAAATAACTTATTTAACTAACTTTTTTAATATTCATAAATTATTTATCTAACTCTTATATTAACAGTCGGAGGTAGTATGCCATCATAAAATATGTACATTTGACTCTTTCAAGTTCAGCAATGTATTGCCATTGTTACAATTTTGCCGGTTGAGAAGGTTGACTCTGACAGAAATTACTTTGATAATTCCAGAATTGCCCCACTTTCTTATATATTAAAGTACGATGTAAGTTCTGACTGATTCCACATCCCATCCCAAATAGCACCAAAGCTAAGGGAGTAGATATATGAATAGTTACACACACTCATTCAAGTTCTTAGTGATTAAATTGTACATTGGTAAGAAAAAAATTATAAATTAGAATACCTCCGAACCACTACATTAAAAAAAAAAAAAGAGTCCCAAAATATGACTGTTAGGTGCGGTTTACTCTGCAAATGCTGTGCCGAACACACCCTTCAGCCAGATGTACCTCTTGTTTGATATCCAAGACTAGTAATTTGATATCATCACGCACAAAACTTAAAAAGTGTTTAGATTAGCTTTTCAGAGGTGATTTATAAAGTTTAAAGTAAGTAAGTGGGAGAAGTTTCATTTTAGTTTATGTAAAAAAAAAAAACTTTTTGTGAGTGTTTATATGGGAGATGTTAAACACCTCCTTAAAAAAACATGCGCGAATTTCACCTCAATCTTTACGTTGGCTTGAAGTTCTATTATTTATTTGGGAAAAAAAATTTTCAGGACTAACGATAGGGGTTAAGTACTAACATGAAAAAACATATAGCTAAAAAGGATATATTTATGAATTTTAAAAACTCAATTAGTCAATTGAAAAGAAATAGATAATGTCAAATAATATATTGTATATTCATGTCACCGTATGACTTTATGAATATTAAATGGACAGTAATAGATTAATTTTGAGAAATAGATTATTATCATTTTATGTCACATTCATGATGATATATTTCATAAATTTTACTATGTCTGTCCTAAGTGTAAGAACTAGTTGAATATTTAATTTAATCCTAAACATAAAACCTTATCCACTTTGTGTCCCACATGTATTCGTTTTTTTAAAAGTAATTTTCATGGTGATTCCACATGTCAAAATGTTTTTTGTACGAAGCATATGACTAATAGGGGTATTTTAGAAAAGATAACACTTATTTATTATAAATAACTAATTTAACTAAATTTTTTAATATTCATAAATTATTTATCTAACTCTTATATTAATAGTGGAAGAAGGTAGCATGCCATCATAAAATATGTACATTTGACTCTTTCAAGTTCAGCAACGCATTGCCGTTGTTACAATTTTGCCGGTTGAGAAGGTTGATTCTGACAGAAATTATTTTGATAATTCCAGAATTGCTCCGCTTTCTTATATATTAAATTTTAAGTATGATGTAAGTCCTAACTGATTCCACATCCCATCCCAACTAGCACCAAAGCTAAGGGAGCATGTATATGAATAGTTACACACTCATTCAGGTCATGTACGTGCCTATCTGTCAGTGAATTCTTTTATAATTAAAAAAAAAACTAAAGACAGGATTTGAAGCTATACGTGATTAAAATTAATAAATTATCAAGAGAGTGACTTTTTATAAAAAATATATGTTACATATAATAAATATATATAGGCGGATACTTCTAACAGTTATCCTCTTGATAGAAGAATATAAGTTACACATTTTTTCAAATGTCAAGTTCATCCATTGTTTATTTTTCATTCAAATAAATATGACCTATAAATGCCTCTCTTCTTAACATTTAATATCTCAAAAGATTTCAACTGCCAATGGTCAAATTTAAACTACATTTTTATAGTAAATTTATAAATAGTTAATTTCATTATTGGTTCACGTAGTGAGAACTTTTAGATATAAAAGTTTGCCCCATCATCCTCCATAGTTACTACAGAGTCTACAACAAAAAGAATCTAGCAATTATAGATGGATGCCAACAATGAGAATCAGGAACATGCTTCTGTTTGTTCTTTTAATCCTATGATGTTGTCTACTGATCATGTTTACCTTGCAGTGTTAAATGCTGCTATTGAGCTGAACTTGTTTGAGATTATTGGTAAGGGAAGCCCTAAGGGCATGTCTGCCTCCGAAATCGCTTCCAAGCTAGGGACTCCACACGCCGGCATGGCTCATCGGCTAGACCGAATGTTGTTTTTGCTTTCTAATTACTCTTTCTTGACTTGTTCTTCCAACAAACTTGATCAACATGGTAAGATTGAGAGGCTTTATGGTCTATCTCCTGGTGGTAAATACTTAATCACCAATGAAGATGAAACTTCTTACGTTAGACTCTTCAAATTATGTAATCATCCCACTTTCATAAAGATTTGGTGAGTATTGCATGTTTTGGTACATAATCACCACCTTTTGTTTATTTATTATTTGATCATATACAAAAGACCTATTTTTAACTTTTATGATTCTAGGCAAAACTTCAAGCAAGTGATTCTTGATGAGGAAGAGGACCTTTTCAAGACAGTTAATGAGATGTCTATTTACGAATATATGGAAATGGATCCAACGTTCAAAACTACTTTTCATGGGGCAATGGCTGATTTATCGATCATACAGATGAAGGATGTACTTGAGACATATAAAGGATTTGAGGGAATATCAACACTTGTTGATATGGGTGGTGCCATTGGCCAAAGTCTTAGAATGATCGTCTCCAAGTATCCTTCAATTCAGGGCATTAACTTTGACTTACCATCCGTCGTACAACATGGCCTATCCCATCCAGGTAACTTGTAGATGTATTTTTTTTTTTAACCTTTTCTTTAAAGTTTAACTAGATTTTTTTTACCTGTGTGTTTCAAATAATATAAGAATAGTGCATGATTAAATATAGAAAACTTTAAATAAAAGTACAGAAAGAGGATGGGAATTTCATATTTGAAATTCGAAATGAAAACAAAAAAAATAGATGAAAGGTATACATATAGCCTAAAACTAAAGTGTGATCTTATGGAATTTAGAATTTAAGAAATTGCATATAGAATTTAGTATATACTGAGTTGGATTCAATTTTTTCCCGTCAAAACTTTGATGCTACTAATTAATCAACTAAATTATATAACTTTAAAAAATCATGCATAATGCGGCATATTTTAATTTGAGCTTATCATAAAATCTTCTTTGCGATATTAAAGGAATAAAGCATGTTGGAGGAGATATGTTCAAAAGCGTTCCACAAGGTGATGCTATAATGATGAAGGTCAGTTTAATAACACTATAATTAATTTCACATAGTAATCAATTATTATTCCTAGGCTTTGGTAATAACTAATAAGCTATATGTTCAATCTCTTGCAGTTTATAACTGATAACTGGGCAGATGAAAACTGCATACAGATTTTAACAAACTGCCATAGATCTCTCAAAAACGAAGGCAAGCTTATTATTATTGACCTGATAATGCCAGAAATACCAAATGGAAGCGATGAGCATAAATATGTTTCAGTTCTTGACAATCTCATGTTCTTGCAAGCTGGTGGAAAGGAACGAACTGAGAAAGAATTCGAAGCTCTTTGTAGAGCTAGTGGCTTTTCCAGCTACAAAATTGCAGCTCGTGTTCCTTCCGCAGCTTTAGGAGTCATTGAGTTTTACAAATAAACTAGATTGTCTCCATCTACTAAACTTTGTATGGAGTCTAAAGAGAGTCACGTCAGATACATATATACATATATATGGTCCATGAATAATGCATATGACTGGCGGGTATGTACGGTTCATGTTGCGTATAGAATAAATAAGGGTAATTTATGAGTAAGGAATGAAATACGTGTGTAATATATGTACTGGTTTATGAATAATGATTGTCTTTTTCTTTTCAGTGTTAGTTAATTGAAAGAATATGGCAATAATTAAAATAATTCATATCATTATAAATTATCCAGGGCTATCATATATAATAAGTTCCACTGAACAGAAAAATTGTAATAATGCATTCCTTGAACTTTAGAGGGTCAAATTTATGAATTTTTTTATTCATCTAATATATAGATTAGCCTAATGATTTTTTTTAAAATTATCAGTTAAAAAATTTATAATGATTTTAGTGTGTGTATATGTTTGTGAAAGTTTTTAAAATACATAATAAGTCGTGGTAACAGAGACAAAACATCATGGAGTTGAGAGTATTTTATTCTTTTATTGATCCCTCTATCCATTCCAATACTTCAATTTTTTCATTCTTTTTCTGGTTGGTAATTTCCCAGAGATTTGGGGTTTGACATTTGCCAAAATCTTATATTTAATTTGACAAAATTAAATTGGGCATCAATTTTTAAACTAGGAAATAACAAAATGAAAACGGGCAATATAACTTTAGATTATTATATTTTATTCAATGAGTGTGTAAATTGCATGCTAAGGAGTACAGGTTGGTGTATTTCCAGAGATTCTGGGGCTTGATGCTCTTACAGGTAGCAATTGTTGGAGTGCTATTGAATTTGAGATTAGTATTTCTGAGTTTTACCCTTTCACATGGTACCCTACTACTACATAATTAAATTATTCCTTCCTTTGTTGTTGATGTGCCTCTAATGTTCTTGAAGGAAACTCTACTTAGTTGTACCTTTGATGGAGTGCGCAGTAGCTCAAAATGGAAGAAAGGAAAAAAAAACACAAAGGAAAATGGAAATAGTTATAAATATGTAGGACAAACTTAGAATATATGACATGCCTAGAATATATGAGATGCCAAAAATGATAACTATACAAATTAGATTCATATCCTGATATTATATCCAACATTTGCATCACATATACAATTTTTCATTCAATAAGTTTCAAATATTATGAAATGCATGGACCCATTTTAAAATGCTTGTTTACCATTTAATTTAATTTCATATTGTCTACTATTTTATACTGTCTCTGATCTTTAATATAAAAGTTAGTTAACTAATTTGTGAATATTAAAAAAATTAGTTAAGATAGTTATTTAAATGAATATTGTCTTTTCTAAAATATTCTTGTTAATCATGTGCGTTAAAATAGAAAACATGTAATATCTTACTTTAAGGACCCCGATGAGCGAAATTTATTAATTATGGTTGAAGGTTTACACTAAACTTATAACTTTACTTTCCTGATGGTTGTATGTTATAAAATAAGACCAGGATTCGCTCTTAATCTATTTGATGGCAATATCTATATATTGACAAATTTTACTTTTAAAATCTTGCTTTTCTATTCCAGCTTTAATAAAGCACAACTATTATACTTTACATATAAATTAAACAATTCATTCACATCACAAGTATAATATCATTATATATATTTATATATTACGAAACTCTCAAAGACTCCTCCTTATGGAGGTACAAACATAATAGTAAAAATTACATGCTTCACATATAGTAGAAAATATAGACATAAAATATCACAAAAGGCAATGTAAACACATAATGTATTAATTTGTTTTCACATTGATTAAAAAATTAACTAAATTCTTCTTCTCTCCACCTTAGCTATGCTCCCACCAGCTTCTCTTTCCCCTTGGAACATTGGGCCCTATGGTTACATAGAAAAGAGAGGTGAGATTCAAAGAATCTCAATAGCAGTAATCATATTTAATATATTATGAATGGTATGAACTGGGCATGCAAAACAAGCTATTGAGACCATCTTACAATAATTGGACTGAACTAAATAACCAACTAAGGCATATTCACTGTCATATAACTGAATCTTATCTAATTGTTGCGCATAACTGAATAACTGAGTAATTGCATAACTGAATAACTGAGTAACTGAGCAGCTACATAAATGATTAACCACATAACCGAGCAGCTGCTAAATGATTAATTGATTAACTAAGCATATACATACTAATTAACTGATTACTGATCATATGGATGACTGAATAACTGAGCATATGCTTTATTGAATAACTGAGCAGCTGAATAATCTAATTAATTGATAAATTGGATATACTTGCATAAGACTACATTAGACAGCAAAATGTATGCACATACTCATGACAATAACATGTAATTTACATGTTCTCATGCTTAACTATAGCATTATGGCACAAACAGACATATAACCAATGCAAAACATACAAAATAATTTTTATTGAAGTAGCAAGCCAAGTGTTAATTCTCATTGCCTGTGTTTGTGAAAGTGTGGTTCCTTACTATTAAACCTTTTATAGGTTCTTCATTTTCATATTTTTCCAAGGCTCCTAACATTGATGCCATGAGGTCCGCATGTCACATTCTCAACAGTCAACAGTCACTTGTCTACTCCCATTACCTAATGAGATACAATCATCTCTTGTCTGAACGGTTAAGTCAAGTATTTTCATTTGTGTTAATCTTCCAACGTGAATTCCATTTGTATTCGGACTATTAGTTGGGGCTTCAATGGAGAATTTGCTGAATGTAAAATTTCAGCATCCCAAAACATTCACATGAAAGTGTTTGCTATGTTGGGATGTTATGTTGTGGATGACTAAATTGTTCATGAAGTTGAAACAAAAATTATGGAGTAGGTTTCAAAGAAAGTTAGACTTTTTAAAAAAAACATTGTATGCCATTGATTTAGAACTGTTTTTTTTTTCATTATAAGAAGTGGCTAAGTAAAAACGAGAAAAAAATGTTCAGGCATTACACACTACAAAAAAATTGACTTTCAACGGCGACTTTTGAAAGTATAAAAGTCGTCGCTGAAAGTTTTCAGTGGCGACTTGATGCCGCTAAAAGTCATTGTCGTAAGCCGTAGTTGAAAACTTTCAGCGGCGACTAAAAAGGTCGCAGCTGAAAACACTTTTGGCAGCAACTTTTAGAAGTTTCATGTCGCCGTTGAAAACACTTTCGGCGGCACCAAGAATGCCGCTGCTGAAAGACACTTTCGGCAGCGACACTCTTGTCGCTGCTGAAAGACTTTTCTACGGCGACAATTTGTCACCTCTAAAAGGGATGTTCAGTGGCGATTTTTTGTTGCTGCTGAAAGTAATGCCTAAGAAGAATTGGCTTTACCAACACCATGTCATCACCACCTGCTGCCACGTCATCGTAACCGGCCGCCACGTCATCACTAGCCACTTCCACGTCATTGCCACATCACTCCTCCCCACCACGTCATCGTCCAAATATTTTCACCTTAAATGTGTCTTCTTCAAGGTTCGAACTCGTGACCACCTCTCTTCGTGTCCAATCTTCTTGCCACTAAGCCAGATTGAATTTGTTTATTAATATTATAAAATAAAATATATATTACTATATTACACTTTCAGTGGCGACAATAGAATGTCACCGCTGAAAGTGAACCCAATGATTCTCAAAGGTATACTTTCAGCGGCGACAAAAAAAGTCACCTCTGAAAGTCCACTTTCAGTAGCGACAAAGAAAGTCGCCACTGAAAGTCCACTTTCAGTGGCAAACGTTCAGCGGCGACAAAGAAAGTCGCCGCTGAAAGTCCACTTTCAATGGCGACATTTTTGTTGCCGTTGAAAGTCTTAGTTTCAGCTGTGACTTTTTGGTGTCGCCGCTGAAAGTTGTCGCCTAAATTCTTTTTTTTTTTTTTGTAGTGACAGAATGGACACAAATTAGTCTAATTTTTGTTTCTATCTCTTAACCTATTTTTTTACCATATGAGAAAATTTACTCATTATGTGATTTTTCATATTAAAACACATGCTCTTATATTATTATTTAGAAATTAGACATTCTTTACGTTTTAATTAGGGAAAAAATGATGACATAAAGAATTAAAAACAAAGTTTGAATTTTTAGAAATATCTATAATTTATAAATAACCATAGAAACTTTTTTGCAATTCTAAGTTTGATCACAATTATTTTGCTTCCAATCTGTTGAGTCTTGATCATCAAAAGTGACACCACGAGATAATGTAAAGGAATCAATGTATCTAAATCTAAGTCACTGGGCATCTCCACCCAATTGGTTAGAGTTTCCTGATACTGCAATGTTATCATCAAAGAACAATTGGAGCCTTGCAAGGACCATTTAGCTCTAGTTGTCTCAAATCATATGTACTTTCTGGCACAAAAACTTTGCTTGCACTTGGCGATGCACATGCCGCTTTCCATGCACTTCCCAAGCTATTGTCAGCATCAACCAACAGGCAAGTGTATTTCAATAAAATATGACTATGAAAACAATTTTGTGGGCAGGTTAGCAGGTATACTTAGCATGTGATGATAAAAAAACCGGAAAAAAAACAAAAAAAGAATTATGGCAAAGTTTATTTTTCAAAAAAAATCCATCGCAAATTTTGTTGTACAAGTTTTGTGCGATGAAAATCTTTTGAACATATCACAAAAAAAAACATTTGTAAAGCAACAGTATATTGCAAAATCAATTTGCAACTTACTAATTCTTCTGTCCCAAATTTCTTTTTATTTTTGTTGTTGTTTGAACTTTCAAATTGTGAATTCAAAAGATCAATACTCACTGAAGGCAGTTCTCCATCAGGTGCTCCACCATATTTTGTTATACTCACCAGGTCTTTAAAGTAAGATCTAATTAACTAATTTGAATAGATTTAAAGATGTTAAATAAATTAGTTAATATGATATGTTTTTCCTCAAACAACGTAAGTATCTTTCTTAATTCCCTCCCCCTTCTTACTTGATTATTGTT